TCGTTGAGATATTACAGGAGGTTTACATCTTGCAGAAGAAGAGATAGAATTGGTTACAGGAGATAGGAAGAGAACTTAAACTGATAATCTATCCTATATCCTGCGCCTTGGACACCTTGGAGTCTTCAACCCATGCGTGACATGTACGTGACACAATATGTTGTGTTTGACACATGTCTGTGTGTGAACTTGGTGTGTGTGTGTCTGCGTGTGTGTGAACCTTTGTGGATTGTTGGCTTGGGCATGTGCTTTATAATATAAAGCGGGGCGAAAGCCTTTTTCGGTAATAAGCACAAGTGCTCAAAGTTATCCCAAGAGTGAGCTTTTCAGTGTGGAGTTACTGGTCATGATCTAAAATCTCTCTCAATAACAAGTATATCACTCCTCCCTGGCCTTTGGCCAAGATCTCCCTACCACTACAATATGTATGCATATGTGGAGGCTTATGTGTGGTTTGGTGGGGTAAATGGAGTAAGCAAATCTGAATTTTCAGTTATTGCAAAGTTAAATAAGTATCCAAAACTAGTACAATGAAGCCTTGTCATGCCAGTCATAGGAAGAATGATGTCATAGCTGAGAAGACGTGAAAAGGAAAAAGAATTATCCGAGTAACACAAGGTGATCTGTATACCACATGGAGAGCGGGCATCAGCTGATCAAAAGGAAAAGAATGGTCTGAGCGGCACAAGGTGAGCTCTAGAACTATTATCGGATATGGATACCTCCTCGAGAGCGGGCATCAGCTGATGACTGCACAAGGATTTGGAAGTATGCGCTAATTGACTCCTCCCACTCGATGGAAAAACAGAGCCCCTTAAATTTCGATTGCCAGCACTCCTTTTTTCTGCTTTTTTTTTTTTGCCTCGTGATTGACAGCACTTCTTTTCCTTTTTTTTTCCTCTCTCTCTCTTTGGGCTCTAGATTGCCAGTACTCTTTTTTTCCTCTTTTTCATTAGTATTTTCTTAAGAGTTGCTGACTAGATGGATGTCTCTGTTTACAAATCACCCTGGGGTGTAAATCAATGCATGCTGAGCGCCATAAGTGAAATCTCTGAATGAATTGTGTGAATGAGCAGTATGACACAACAGGAAGAAGTGGCTTATACAAGGTGAACGGATACACTGACATAGTATGCAAGATTGCAGTCACAAGTGTCAGAGAGGGCAGCAATCGAAGGAAAGAAGGAGAACGACTGGCTTTCAAGAGCTTCTGACTAGATGGATACAGAGTTAACAAAGCTCACCAAATATTTAGATTACACAAATGAGGGTTCAGTTTTGTTATGTATGGCTCTGGTGGGACAAATAATAGTCTAAACCAATCTAAGTGACACCAACTTACTTCACTCAACTCTTGGGGTTTTGATTAGGAGATACTGAAAAAAATAGCAACCTAGGTCACCAAATATCAACGAAGCAATGAAACTGTGAGGGCTAGAATGTGACCAAATATATTATATGCACGATCCAAGGTAAACCCGCATTTGAATAAAGTGAGAAAATGTTGTACCATTCCTTGACCCAGCATTCTTTCACTAACTTCATCTCCGCATTCTGTTCTTCAGTTATCTCCTAACCTGCATTGGTACAAAATAATATGCATTTTAGTATGAGTATCTCTGGCGATTTAGTAATTTTCATTTTTTTTATATCATACCCAGACCTGACTCCAGGAACTAGCATTAAACTTTATTTTAACACTTTCTCTTAGAATCTTCTCCTGTTTCAAATCAACAAGACGGAAAGAGCGATTACCTTAGGGCAAGCTGATAGTTGGAAAGCACTTCTTTTTTGGAAATGGAAGCCTCTTTATTGCTTCTTCGCTTTGTTGCTGCAAATAGTTGAGCTAACTTGCTGCGTGGCGAATTATCTTGTTAGATATCTTCCAAGTAAATTGCATCCTTGTTCTGGCATTCACCAACATGGCAGTCACCCAATGCCAATGCAGCTCTTACAGTTTCAGGTTCAAGGCAAATGGCAGATTCATACAGCTTGCTTGCCTGCAAATAAGGAAAATAAATTAATAACTTGCCAAAGGGCAATACTATTGGGGGAAAGCATGAGAGACGTGCTTTTCAGAAAGCTTACCTTGCAGACGTCGACAAACTTGAGATCCATTGCAGACTGGTCCATAACCTTCATTGCTTCGTATGGAGTGCTAGACAAGCAATTAAGCATGAACCAAACCTGAGAATATATTCTGTTAGGATCAAATAACAAAGCAGCACATGATATATTTGTTAGGCAAGTACTACTGAGAAAAATGATATATTTGTTACCTTGGATTAGTCGATTGTATGGTTTCCATTAATTTTCTGTAGTGCTATTGGAACCCTTTGTTGCCACAATTGCCAACACTAAGTCTTTGAGTGAACTAGGAATGTCTCCTTCGGCAGCTGACTACTTGGGCTGGACACACCCATCATCCTTAAGCTCTTGAAGTTGGTAAGCCTGTGTAGCCCTGTCAGGAGGCATTGCAGTTGTTAGGCAAGTTTGCACGCGTGCAGTTGAGTAGCATCTAAACGACGTCTGGATTGAGTTCTGGCTGATCGTGCTGACAGAGAACAAGAATTGCACTACTTTTTGTTTAAGAAAAGCTCAAAACGTATTTGTAAAATAACCTTAGGTGCCGTAATGGAGATCCTCTGAAGTCTTCAGTTAGACCATCTTGGACTGGGAATAACACCGTTTGCTGGACCAATGAAATGGGATGCCAAAGATAAGAAACGTAATTCATACATATACTACAAAAATGGGCAACGAGAAAAATGGAACCTATAGCTCAAAATGCATCGTAAAATTCGACCAGTACTACTGAGAGTTTTGGTCAGTTCAGTAACTTACTAAGCGGAAAGCCGGCAATAACAAGACTAGCATTCACATCTGTTGGAGTACAGAGTATACATGTCTGGATGGCATTTTCTGCAAAGGAAAATCAGTAAGATTTCAAAATGTAAATGAAAAATGAGATGTGAAAGCTAAAAATCATGCAGTGTCCTAGCATCTCAAAATTAGGGTCAATTCAGTAACATACTAAGCAGGAGTGAACCTTACAGTAATATCAGCAGCAATTGGCATGCGAGCCTGACAACTAGAGCACCAAGTCTTCAGAAGTGGTGTGTGTTGGATCATCTATTTTTTGAGTGCCCTTTTGCTTCTAGGTGCTGGGATTCATCCCCAATCGATCGGTCCAGCGGAGGCTAAGTTGTGCGCCCCCAGGGTGCTACAAAAAATCCCCTTCGCTCCGCCTAGGCTCCCTCCCCTCGCCTAGGGTTTCCGCGCCGCCGCCGGCGGCTCCCCCGCGCGGAGCCGCCGCCGCGGCCGAAGCCCGCCGTCGCCGCTCGCTTCTCCTGCTCCCCCGCTCCTCCCTCCTCCTCCTCCCGTCCCTGTACCCCCCGCGTCGCCTCCCCGGGCGAGGCAACCGGGGGGCCCCGACGCCGTTCCCCTCCCGCGCGCTCCCAAGCTCCTCCCCCCTGCCGCCGCCAGCGCGCCGCCGGGCCTTGCCCGCGTGGTGCCAGCGGCGGCGGGCCTGCCTGTCCCCACGCGCGGCCTCCTCTGCTCGGGCGATGGTGGTTGGCGAAGGTGTTCCTCGGCTGGCGATGGTGCGTCCTGGTGGCGGGGTCCGCGGGGCGCGGGCGTGTCTGATGCGGTGGCGTGGCCGTTGGCCGCGGGGCGCGCGGCGGTGCGGCTAGCCGCCGGCCTTCGCTCCGCCCAGATCTGGGCTCTTCTGGGCTCCAGCTGGGTTGGGGCGGGCCGGTGTTCCGGCGTGCGGCGGCGTGGCTCCCTGGCGGTGGTGGCGCGGCGTCGAGGGATGCGGGTGGTGGCGGCTTCGTCGGCCGAGGTGCTGCAGCGTGGCGGCAGGGGTTGTCCGGATCTCTGGGGTCCGGCCGGGCCTGTGCGGGCCTGGTAAGCTCCTGTCATCACGTCCGGTCGGCTCCGCGTCGGCGGTGGTGGTAGTCCCCTCCCATCGGCTGAGTTGCGGCTTCCCCCGAGCTCGTTGGCCCCTCGTCCCTCCTCCAGGTCTCGTGTCGGTGGCTCAGCGAGACGGCGTTGATGGTTCAGTGACTGTGGTAGCACATGTTGGTGGGCGGCAGTTCTGGTGGAGCGCTTTCGATCGTCCGGGGTGGTGGGGTTGTTTGGGTTGGGAGAAATCCCTGGTGGCTTGTCCATCACCGACGTGCTAACGCCTGTGGGCGCCGCCGGACCTTCCTGAAGGGCGTCGGATCTGCCCCTTCCCCACTGCCCTCTGCGTACCGGGGGAAACCCTTGGACTTGCCTGGGCAGCAGCGTCGTCGTCGTCGCATTCCTTCCTGAAGGTGCTGCTCGGTACGCGACGCCTCGGAGTGCTAGAAGCGCGGTGGTACTTCTCCGGTGGGTGCAGCGGTCACTGGCCATCTTTGTTTCGTCAACCTGCCATTGTCGGCATTTGTTTCTTTTTCTTTTTCTTTTTCTTTTCTTTTGGGCGTGCTTGTGCTGCTTCCGCCCCAGCACCTATCGTGGATTGTATCGGATGGTTGCTTTGTAATACAAAGCGGGGGGAAACCCTTTTTCTTGAAGTCTTCAGAAGTCACAATGGAAGTGTAAATGCGAAGTATCTAGAGGCTAAGAGAATAAGCTTAAAAACACCTGCACAAAAAGGGAAAAATAAATGGTGAATACAACAAAACAAAACAAACAAACACTGTAATTCCACAAACTGAGGATTACATGATTTCCTCAATATATATTTATTTGTGGGGATAAAAGTTCCATGTTGGCTGTACTTACCAGATTGGAACAGGAAGAAGATGCCACACGGAGACCTTCTCGTGTGCAAACGATGCATGGATGGAGAGAACGATGCATGGATGGAGAGAATCCTACAAGGCTAGAAGAATGTACAACTCCCAAGAAACCCTGTGCAGTAGATCGAATCGAATCACATACTGTTAACAAAATAAATTGGCTTGTGTGTGTGGTCTTCATGAAAAGCAAGAAAGTGGTTGTTACCTTGGATAAGTCTATAGTCTGATTAATGGGATGGTCCCCATTAATCGCCTGCATTGCTGTGTTAGCTTTTCGTTGGGTAAATAACTGACATCTTGCAGCGAGCCGGGGAGGCCATTTTTGGGCAGCGACCTGATGGCTGGACAGTCTAAGATCTTTAATCTGTTGAGGTTGGTGAGCTTGTTTAGCCCTGATGGGAGGCACCGCAGCTTGTTGCACCACTGGAATTGGAGGACCTCAAGGGACCTGAGGAGGGAAAGGGCCTCCTCTTGCTCCTTGGTGAAGCACTCCACGTCTTCGTTGAATTCAAAAGATAATTCGGTGAGGGAGGAAGAGAGGAGGCGGCAGATGGGCGCGGTAAGGACTCCTGCCATGTCATCCGTCTCGAGTACCTGCAGTTTTGGGAAAGGAAGCAGCTGCTCGCCCTGCAGCTCCCGTGCGGGATCCCAATCAGCAAAGAATTTGGGGGTGTGGCGGACATATAATGCGGTGAGCTGGCCCTGGGTAAGGAGACGCAACAGGGCCTCACATCTTATATCCTCGCCCAAATACTTGATGCTTAAGTTCTCGAGAGAGGTGAGGTTGGAGAGGAGCACTAGCGTGTCCATGCCTTCCATAGGATCTCGAAGTAAGAGGCGTTGCAGGGAGGATGGGAAAGGGCAACAGGAAGAGAGATCCGAGGCCTTGTACGCGGACAGGAAGCAACTTTGTATTTCTATTCTCTTGAGGAAGCGCATGGCTTGCAGACCTCCTCCTCCTCCTGTCTCGTGATTATTGGCAGTCAGGATAAGCTTTGGACAGCTGTCGAAGCATAACTCCTGTAGAGAGGCGGATAGATGGGCCGGTAAGAGCAGCAGCCCATCATCGTCTTCTGCTTGTTCTACAACAACCTCCTCTGCTACTCCCTCTTCCTCCACCTCTTGCACACTTTCTCGTTGCTCATCTGTTCCACGTGTATCCTGCAATTCAATAGCAGCTGAAGAAGCTGCTATGTCCCCGGTCTTGCTTGCTTGCGGTGTCCCCGGTCTTGGCTCGGATGATGTCGGGGTTCTCATGGGTTTGGTAGTGCCGCTCTTGGCTCGGGTTTGGTTGGTTTAGCTGTGATGTTTTCTTGTGTTTGGGCTGAGCATCCTTTGTCTCTCTGCTCCGGGCACCATGTTCACGCCTGCATGCGTTTGTGTCATGTGTTGTACCCCTGTACTCATTCTTCTTCTTCTATCAATGGAATCATACGCAAACTTTGCGTATTCGCGATTTAGGAAGAAGCTGGCAGTGACAGAGATGCTGCCGTTTGTCGCTGCTCGGCCTGCACATCCAACCGTGTTATCTTCTCACAACCCCATATTCTCAAGCTAGAGAGCTCAGGGAGATGAGTGAGTAGACGTGCCACTTCCTTCCCACTAAAATTGCACATCCATAATTTTAAACTGGTAACTGGAAGCTGCCATCTGGCGTCACTTCTTGCTATCGGCAGGAAAATATTGCTTGAATCATGTATTCTGAGGGTCTTCAATGCGGTTAGCATTTGAAGGTGTTCCTCAGCCAGAGGTGGGCAATTATCGATAAACAATTCTTGTAGTTGGGTTAAATTATGGAACGCCAAGATCGTCTCATCTAGGCTATGCATATCACTTCCTTCTATTCCCAAAGAGTATGATTTGCTTGAATAAGATAACTCCTTCAGACCTCTTCCTGCACGCCTCAGTGTAACAGAGCACAAAGCATGACTATAGGGAATAGGAGGCAGTGACAACAGTTTTGGGCAATTATCAATTTTAAGCTCTTTTAGCCTAGGAAACCAAGTCACACATGAATCTGTTTCCAAGGGGTAGCAACTAGTATAAGATGAAAACGGTAACTCAGTTAGTTCAGGGCAACCCTTCACAATGAGTACCTCTATAAGTGAGAAGTACCAAGGGCAAACTTCATTTGCTACCCATCTTCTAAATCCTGGCAACCCAATGAGTTCTAGCCTTTTCAAGTTACGAAAGCATGGGCCTGTGATGCAATTCAAATACTCTTCTCCGGATTCACGCTCTTCTACAGATTGACAAATCAGGTATAACTCTCCAAGGGGTGGAAGGAGTTTCCAAGCTACGCGGTCTAGGCAGAGAGCCTCCATGCCCATCAATGCGTAGCTCATGGAGATTGCTATGTGGCCGTAGGCTCTCAAGTAACTGATCTTCTGCGTCAGGACTCATATTTGATTGGCCTTTGTTCCAACTTAGTGTTAATTTTTGCAAGCGGTTTTTGCATAAGAGATTTGCCTCATGTGCTTCGTTTACTAGTGCATTTTCAAGATTACAAATGTCAAGTGGTCCTCCTATCTCTTCTAGTTTCCCCAGCTCCATTAATTCAAACCCATTACTTTCTTGTTTAAGTTCAAATCCATGTCTAACTTCAAATCTTGCTAACTCTTGTAAGTTCTGTAGTTTTCCCACATTACTAATATTCGAATGGAACTCATACGATGGGACAAGGAAATGGCGCAGTTTTACAAGGTTAACCAGTTCTTCATGCGAACTATGAGCACCCTCCCAGTCACTTATGTCTAGCACCCTTAACTGATAAAATCTTGGTATACTCTTTGGTACCTTCTTTTTACTACGATCCTTTGACACAAGCCGTAGGTAGCGGAGATGGACAAGTTTCGAGAAGTTGTGCAATAGAAACTCCACAGGGTAAAACATTGTTGACAAATAGACAACGCGCAAAGATTTTGCATATTTGCATAGATCACTGAATATGCGAACAAAGCTTGCATTGTAATCTCCAAACAACATCAAAGTGCGTAGGTTCTCAGTTTTCAGTATCTTTCTTATCTTGTTCAGTTCTTTCATAAAAATTTCTTTGACAATTCCATCCTCACTATTGGATGGATCACTCATACTAATGGACAAGTGATAAATAGATGGTGCAATTTCTACGGCTCTTGGGCTAGAGGTAGATATATGTAGACACTCTTGTGAGGAAACCTTCAATGCTAAATCATGCAGCAGGTCATGAATAACATAGTGTTTACCTGAATCACCTGTTTCTATTTTGAAAAATCCATAATTAACTAAGTCATTCAAGTTGTTCCGCCCTATATCTTCAATTCTTTTCATTCTATTATCTGGATGTATAATGTCAAGTCCTATCCAAAAGTGAATTAGCTCCTCACTGTCAAACTTGTAATCTTCTGGAAATAATGCACATGGAGAGAAGCATTGTTGTAGGTGAAAAGGTAGGTAGTCATAGCTAAGCTTCAATGCAGGCATAATATCATGATCACTGGTCTGTGATTCCCATTCTTTGCTTTCAAGAACTCTTGTCCAATGATCTACAGATATGTTTTTCCTTAGCAATCTACCCACGGTTTTTGCTGCAAGAGGAGAACCCTTCAATTTATCCACAATTTTTTCCCCGATTTCAAGCAGGTTTTTATCATTACATTGTTGATTAGTTTCACCAAACACAGATGCTAAAAAAGGGCTCCAATATTCATTCGGCTCCAGACCCTCTAGTTTCAACAGTTTATCTCCTGTCCTAACCATTTCAGCTACCTCAAGGAATCTAGTTGTGACTAGAATCGTGTCACCGTTTCCTTGCTCTTTTTGAAAGGGAACTAGAAATCTTTTCCACTCGTCTTCATTACCATATTTCCATATATCATCCAAAACAAGTAAAATTCTTCTATTTTTCAGTCTTTTTTCAATTAATTTCTGAAGTTGGTCCAAGTTTTGTACCTGATTATCTGCTTTGTCATTTTGTTCGTCTTAGCTTTAGGGATGGAGCGCACGATCTCTTGTGTCAGCTTATACACACTAAAGTCGGTAGATACACACACCCAGACTCTTATTTCGAAATGATCTTGCACTTCTTTTACAACGTACTGAGTTAGAGTTGTTTTTCCTATGCCCCCAGGACCCACTATAGGAATAACCGTGAGTGCTTCATGAATGTATTCATCCTTTGTAATATGCTCAACAATGGTGTTCTTCTGGGGTTCCCTCCCATACAACGTAGGCTCTAAAGCTTGTGAGGTGGTTATGGGCCTACTTGTAGAGGCAACATTGCCAATACCACTAGAACGCACTAACCGTAGCTCGGTAATGACAGAGCCCGACAGTTCTAGGCCAAGAATGGTGGAGACCTTAGCACACAGGGGCTTTAGTTCGTCCGCGATGCATTTCATTCTGGCAGAGACGTCCACCCTATCAAATTTCAACTTTGGCACTCTAGGGGCATGCTTACCATCATCATCTTCAGGAACAGATAGAGAAGAAGAGCAGAGGAGTCGTTTACCGAAGTCGTGGACGGTGGTACGAGTACGGGAAGCGAGCCGGCGTACGCAAATGCACGACTCATCAGGCTTGTAAGTGTCACCTGCAGGAGAGGAGCACGAGCCACAGCCAAGCAGCTTGGTGGCAGCTTTGGCGGTGTGCCGAGCATCGCGGACAAGGTTATGGACGCACCCGCGGTCGTCGTGGTCGACGGACTCGAAGGTGCCGTCGAGCTCGTCCTGGATGCGAAAGTAGTCGAGCTCGTCAAGCACGTCGTCGGCGCCGTACGCCAGGGCCCGCAGTTTCTGCAGCAGCTCGGCCAGCGCGTGGCTGCGGAGCTCCCTGCCGCGGGCGTTGTCGAGCATGGCCTGCGCGTAGAGGAGCTCCGTCTTGAGTGCCTCGATGTTGGGGCCAAGCCCCGAGGTGGCCGCCCACGCCTCGACCAGGCCGCCGGACAGCGGGCTGAGCGCCTTGCCCAACACCCATAGGGACCCGCGGATGGCGGTGGACTCCATGAGCAATGGCTGAAGCCCTGCAAAATAAATAAATAAAGGAACAACGAGTGTGGATTTAGTCCGGTGCCTGCGCTGCGTTCAATTCATGGTCGGGCTGGGCTCGCAGCAGCACCGAGCTCGCCTTGTTACGGCCGGCGGCATAACTGACGAGCGGGTCTAACGGATTATAAAATCGAAAAGACAAAAGAAATCAGTGGTACGTATCTATGAGTCGTTTAGATTTTTCTTTTTAGCTTTTTCGGCGGCTGCAAAGGAGATTCGGCATACAACAGCCCCCGTCGATTCATCAGCAAAACTGTATGGGATATACAAAGACGCAATCATCAATGAGAAAACACGTACCGGAGGCGAGGCGGACAGCCCTCCTCTAGTCCTTCAACCTCCAGGCAAAGGGACGGCGTTAGAAAGCCGTGGCAATGAGAGGGACGGTGTGGCAAGGATGGCACTAGAAGACCAGTTGAAGCTGTGGATGCTGAGCGTGTGAGTGGCGGAGACGAGTGAAATGAGAAGAGATGATTGCAGGAGCTGTGTGTACTAGTGATGTTTAGGAGGTGAGGAATATATAGGCCCGGTCAGGAGAGCTATTTCGTGCAAAGTTGCAAACCGCAGCAGTAGTCTACTACACAAAACAAGTTGTATGCGTTGCATACCTAGATGATGAAGTTAAAAAATAAATCTATAGAACTATCACGGCCAAGCGGTCCGATGCTACAGGACAATGCCTGCCCGAACGGCTTGCTGATAAGCCGCGGTGTTCACGGCGCTAGCAGCCCACGTGAATCAACGTGCTCTCTACCATGACTTGTAACTAACAACAGTGTTTTCTTCCATCGAGATCGAGATGCGATCTGTAAGAGCATTTACAATCGGACCTCTCAAACCCGCATTAGAGCATGGTTAATAATATAGCCAACAATCGGCTACAAGGAGTTGCCATGTCATCTAGAGTCAATCTAATAACTGGCATGTACAATAGTAAAATTTTAATGTGTACTACCTTATTAATAAATTGACCCACCTTGCAACCTCATAAAGGGTCTTGGGGCTTGTGTTGCAGCCGGTGACTAAAGAAGAGCCCACTTCTCTCCTCTCTGCCCATCTCTCTCCTCCAATTAAGCAAAAGTATAATATTTTAGTCCTTATAGCCTGCTCATGTCACTTTTTTTTACCCAGACGGACGCCTCAAACGGACCTCAAACGACCGGGCACTAGTAGAAAAAGGGGCAAATCCGGCACTAATGTGTCCATTAGTGCCGGTTCCAACGGCTAGGTGGGCGGACATCATTAGTACCGGTTCGTGGGCAACAATTAGTACCGGTTCATGCCACGAACCGGTACTAATGATGTTGTGTCAGGCTGTGGGCCCCACAAACACCTTTAGTACCGGTTCATGGCATGAACCGGTACTAGAGTTTCTTATTAAGCTGATTTTTAGTCCCACCTCGTGAGAAGAGAGGCAGTAGGAGCGGTTTATAAGCCGTGAGTGCTGAGACGATGAAGGAGAGGCACAATGCTCACCTGCAGGTTGCTTAGCTTCAAGCCTTTCGGAATAGAATAGATTGCACGGAGCTGTGTGCAGTGTAGTCTACCCTATTCCGAAAGGATTGAAGCTAATTAACGAGCATTGCGCCTTTTTTTATTTTTAATAACTTATTAGAACTCCGGACTTCTTGTGTTACGGCAAAAACTGGATGCACTTCGTGTACAAACTGGATAATCTCTTTCGAAATATCAGGGCCGGTTTCGGACGAAAACTCATCTGTTACACCGGCACTTCATTTTTTAAACTTGTTACAACTTCAGACTTTTTTGCGTTCAGTACGCACCATTCTAAGCCACGTCATCAATTTTCAATCCTTTCTGACATCATTTGCTCCCCAAGCACGAACCGGTACTAAAGAGGTTGTGGCAGGGCTATTTTTAGTCCCACCTCGCTCCCCTAGCAAGATTTTGACCACCTTAAATATGATACTTCTCAAACTAGCACAAGCATTTGGTCTTCATTGAACTCTATGTGTAGGATCTGTGGCTGCAATAGGAGTCTTCACCGGTTCTTAAATCGGTTTGACAATTTAGATTCTATACAAAAAGATCATTGATGATCAATGTATTTTTTATGTACTTCTCTGTAGCAGTAGCGCATTTTGGCTGAAAGGCGGTACTGATCAATGTATTTTTTCTGTATTCAGATGCACAATTTAAATATATTACTTCTCAAACTATCACAAGCATTTGGTCTTCCAACACGTCCTGACATCATTTACTGTTTTTCAGTCACCGATTTGTTTAGATCAGAGCTAAATGACCGTGAAAATGAAAATCACTACAAAACAAACTCTGAAAATGTTGAAGGTATCATCATTTCACCCGCACAGCATGTGTGAAAGAGTAGAGAGGGTCACGGCAAAAAAGAAAAAAACTATATAAAAAAATTACTCAAAACTAAATAGAAGAGAAAACAAATAAAGCAGAAAAGAAAAAACTATATATAAAGAAGAAGAAGAAGAAGAAGAAGAAGAAGAAGAAGAAGAAGAAGAAGAAGAAGAAGCAGAAGAAGAAGCAGAAAGAAGAAGAGGAAGAAGAAGCAGAAGAAGAAGAGGAAGACGAAGAAGAAGAAGAAGAGGA